CCCCTATACAAAAGCTTCAACATTAAAGAATTTCTGGGGGAGAACAGTTTCAAGAGTCTCCTAGGAATTTCCAGGGAAACAGCCCTAAAGACCAAAGAACTCCAGTTGGAGAACATCTACTGCCTTACTGATAGGTCCACTCGGCGTTCGAGATGCAGTTCAACCCAGTAGCAGAGCCCATGTCAGTAAGGGTTAGATTACAATCAGCCTGGGAGAAGTTAAAAAGGGGATTTTCCTTTAAAGATGAAGTTATTGAAGACAGTTGCCTGTTCTTTGTGGGCAAGATTAGGAATTCACCCGTTGCCTAAAAGCTTGGAATCATTTGCTTAATTTTACTGAAGACAAGAGAAGTTTCTGTTTGATTGTTCATTAATAAAGGACTGTTGTACTTCACAAGCCATCTAAAGACAATTTGTGGTGAAACCCTCTGAGAACTTCTCTTTGGGCCCCCTGGCTTCCCGCTGGGCAAAGGTTGCACATCCTGTTCTAAAGACAATTATTTACAGGCCCAGCGCACAACTAAACAGTGTTCAACCTTATTTCTCTCATATTTAGCAGCAACTTCTCATCACACATCGGGGGGGGGGGGGGGGGCAATGCCAGCTAGCTTGTAGAGTTTATCAACAGGTGTAGGTTTAAGACATCCTGTGATTATTCTGCATGTTTCATTCAATGTTATGTTCATCTACTTTGCATGGGCAGACCTATGCCAAACGGCAAGCATACTTGACAGTTGAGTAAGACAAAGCTAGGGCTGATGTTCGTACTAATATTGGGTCTGCACCCCACGTGCTGCCAGTGAGTTTTCGCAGGATGTTATTGCATGCAGCTACTTTGTGCTTGGTGTTCAAGCAATGTTTTCTCTATGCTAGTGTTAGATCTAAGGTGACACCGAGATATTTAGGATGGAAACAATGTTCAAGCTCTTGACCTTCCCAGGTGACTTTCAATTTCCTGTTGGCTTCACAGTTGCATAGGTGGAAAGCACACAGTTGTGTCTTGGCAGGGTTAGGCTTCAGCTGGTTATCTTTGCGGTAGCTGGAGAGATCTTTCAAGGCATTCAAACTACAAGAGAGGAGATTCAATCTGAACATTAGGAAGAACTTCCTGACTGTGAGAGCTGTTCAGCAGTGGAACTCTCTGCCCCGGAGTGTGGTGGAGGCTCCTTCTTTGGAAGCTTTTAAGCAGAGGCTGGATGGCCATTTGTCAGGGGTGATTTGAATGCAATATTCCTGCTTCTTGGCAGAATGGGGTTGGACTGGATGGCCCATGAGGTCTCTTCCAACTCTATGATTCTATGATTCTATGATTCATTTGTAAGTTGGATTTCAGTTGTATCAAAGTCTTTTGCTTGTGTTGTTAGGCCAAGGTCATCAGCATATAGAATCATAGAATCCTAGAATCAAAGAGTTGGAATAGACCTCCTGGGCCATCCAGTCCAACCCCATTCTGCCAAGAAGCAGGAATATTGCATTCAAATCACCCCTGACAGATGGCCATCCAGCCTCTGTTTAAAAGCTTCCAAAGAAGGAGCCTCCACCACACTCCGGGGCAGAGAGTTCCACTGCTGAACGGCTATGAAACCCTTGTGAATGGTGGTTGTGGCTGATCATTAGTAAAGGTATTAAACAAGGTTTTTTTTCGCTCCACATATGGATGAACACCCAAATCTAGTGCTGGCAGTCTTCACATGGACCTATGTGTGATCATGAGAGTGGTCATTCTTTCCCCTGCTCTTCAGTGAACTTCATGGTGCACATCTTCATTGACCACTTAAATCAAGTTCAAATCAGTATTGGAGAAAGTGGTTTCTCTGTGCCAGATGATGACATAGGAAATCCTGGAAGAGGCTTGAGGCCTGGATGGGGATTACATAAACCACAAAGAACTGGTGTGCATTAAGGGCTTTCTTTTGCACATTTTGTTGCCTGGCTACTGCAGTTTGAAGCTCGCTCAATCAGGTCAGTGTAGATGGGGCCATAGATCAGCAGCAGGAAGGGCAGGATGATCAGTGTTTCCATTGATGCCGTTCCTTGAACGTGGGCAGAAGAAAAGGAGTAACACATTCTTCCCCGGTCACTTCTGGAGAGATTCTGACCATATCACTGATTTGTAATCAGTTGGGCCCTTCTGGAAAGGCTGCAGGCTGCTTGCCTCTTCAGACCTGGGGGGATGAAAATGGGTTCACGCTCGACCACTTCCATACTTTGTGTTTGTTTGATTGATCGACTGATGGATTGGGTTTCTAGAACAGTTCATCCAGTGCCCAAAGAGAGCCCTATCTTTTGGAACTAATCTACTCACACACACACTCATTGTTTAAATGGGCAATTGAAGAGAGGGCTATTTTAAGGCTCCAGCTCACTGCCTTGGCAGCCCTGGTATTGTTTCCCAATCCGTGGAGGACCCAGGGAGAAACACGCCAGGAGCAGGGCTTCTTTCGGAGTTTGGAGAGAACTCTTGCCAAACCAGAAAGTATATAAGCCTCTTAACTTGCCTCAAGGACTCAGGAAGCCTTTGATAGGCCACCAAATAGGTCTTGGTGCCACATAGAGCCCATGGACCACTCTTTGCCCACCTTGCCATAGAACATGATGAACAATTCTTTGCAGCTCCTTCTTCTCTTTCTCCCTGTGCTACTTCTGCACCTCTTCCTCCTCCTTTCCATTTTCTATTCTTTCCTCTTTCTCCTCCTCCTTCTTCCTCCTCCTCTTCCACTTTTTATTCTATCCTCTGCCTGTTTGGCTTCTTTTCTTCCCTCCACCTCCTCATCTTATTCTCGTTCCTCCCTCCTTTTTCTACATTTCCTCCTCTCTTCCACTTCTTTTCCTACACCAGCCTCCTCTTCCTCCTTCTCTTCCTCTTCTTTCTCCTTTTCAAGGTGGTGGATGAGAACAAATTCTGCAGAATCTCTTCCCTTGTTTATATGTCAAACCTTTGAGTCTCCCTCCTCTGGACACCTTCCAGCATAGCGTCAACATCTCTCTTGAATTGTGGTGCCCAGAATTGGACACAGTGTGATTCCAGGTGTGGTCTGACCAAAGCAGAATAGAGCATGGGAAGCAGGACTTCCCTGGATCTAGGCACTAGACTCCTATTGATGCAGGCCAAAATCCCATTGGCTTTTTTTGCCGCCGCATCCCATTGTTGGCTTATGTTTAACTTGTTGTCAACGAGGACTCCAAGATCTTTTTTCCCACGTCCTGCTCTTGAGTCAGGCATCATCCCCTATTCTGTCTCTTTGCATTTCATTTTTTCTGCCTAAGTGGAGTCTCTTGCATTTGTCAATCTTGAATTTTCTGCTCAAGCCAATGCATGTGAATATTGTGCAATATTTTCTGTAAACAAAAGAGTAGATCTGTTTTGAAAGTGCAGTTTGCTGTTTTCTGTGAAGAGAAGCAGAAGTGGCTTTCACTTCCTAAGACCTAACTGTGCTGGTACAGCTGCACCAGGAGCTCCAACTTCATTTCCTTTCTATTGAGTGTTTGCATGTATTCCAAAGTTCCATGCATTTTGCAATAAAGTGGCTTCCCTTAGTTTGCAATCATAGGGCCTTCACTGGGAGTTGAAAGCCTTCTTTCCTCTTGGAAATCTATTTATTTATTTATTTACTTATATATTTATTTAGAGCTTTTTAACCCGGTCTTCTCAACCTCCGAAGAGGGACTCAGGCCGGCTATCAGCTGAAAATTCATACACACATAGAATAAACATAATAGCATCATATTACATTAATACAAAAATATATTAAAATACAGATCATACAATTACAAAAGCCAGGTCGTCAGAGTAAAGTCACAAATTCATCACTATCCGCCGGTGTGGTCAGCTGTTATTGACTCAATCATCATTCTGTAAATGCTATATTTCAAAGCCAAGATTTTACCAGCTTTCTGAAAGTCAGGAGGGAAAGGGCAGATCTAATCTCCAACAGGAGAGAGTTCCAGAGCCAAAGGACCATCACCGAGAAGGCCCTGTCCCTCATCCCCACCAGACGCGATTGCGAGGGTGGTGGGACCGAGAGCAGGGCCCCTCCAGAAGATCTTAACAACCTTGATGGTTCATAGGGGAGAATCCGTTCGGACAGGTAAACTGGGCTGGAGTCATTTAGGGATTTATAGGTCAGCACCAGCACTTTCAATTGTGCTTGGAAGCTAATTGGCAGCCAGTGGAGCTGACGCAGCAGAGGAATAGTATGCTCCCTGTACCCCGCTCCTGTTAGTAATCTGGCTGCCGCTCGTTGGACTAGTTGAAGCTTCCGGGCAGTCTTCAGAGGCAACCCCACATAGAGAGCATTGCAGTAGTCTAAGCGGGATGTAACCAAAGCGTGGACCACCGTGGCCAAGTCAGACTTCCCATAGTATGGGCGCAGCTGGCGCACAAATATACTAAAGGACTCTGTTTGGTAAGGACCACTTGCGGCAGCCATAACGCAATTTGGACCGGGTGTAGAATACCCACGCCAGCAGAGCTTAAGCCAGATTGCCCAGGGAGGGGTCAAGGAAGAAACAGTTTATGAAGAAAGTTGCCTGTCCCTTGTGGACAAGATTTAAGCAAGCCACCAGTTGATTCAAAGCCTTGAAGTATTTGTTTGATTTATTGGAGATTTAAGCAACAATAAAAACTTTGTTGAACTTTCTAAGTCTTTAAAAGAACTTTGTGTGGGGAAATCCGAAAGGCCTCTCAGCCGAGGCACCCCCGGCATCCCGTTGGGCACACAGAAACACGTCCTGTCTACAGACTCTTTCACAGGCTCAGCACGTGACAGCACACTAACTATGAATGGTCTTTGGGAAGTCTGCAGTTTTCAAAGTCAGAGCAGGAAGAAAATGGGTGCAATGCCTCCTTCAAGAGCGAAATTCATGCCCCCCCTCCTGGGCCTTTGGAAGTGCCAAGGCTGCTTTTGAGGGGCCCCCTTCCTTTCCCCGCTTTCCTTTCCATGCCCAGCAGAAAAGTCTTCTCTCTTCCGCTTCTCATGCTCTCTTGTCCTTCTCTTGCAGAAAAGCCCGGCTCCTGCCGCCACGCCTCCATCGGCATCTCTCAGCTCGGCTTGTGCCGAGACACATGCCAAAAGGATTCCCAATGCGTCGGCGCATTGAAATGCTGCACAAATGGATGTGGGAAAAAGTCATGCTCTGATCCCGTTGCCTGAGGTAAGTGATGGGTAGCCTCCTGCTCCATTGGGTCCAGGCCTTCTTCCCCCTTGCCGATCCAAGTCACAACCCAAGCCCTCCAGACAGATGGCCACCCAGTTTCTGCTTAAAACCTCCAGACAAGGAGACCCTGATGGACTCAGTGACATCGCGCCTTACTGAAAGAGGCATGGACGTGACATCTTTCCCCAGGGGATTGCTTCTTGCCCTCCTTTAGGAAACTGGAACTCCCAAAGACCCAAAACACGACAGATAACTCGAAATGGTATTTATTGTTCACAATGAGTTATCTTTCTCAGGCATAAGCTTGATGTTTCAACAGGGATAAAGGAAATATACTTTACAATCTCTGAAGTCCAAGGAGTTTGCCGCTGAGAAGCGTTTCCTGTTTCCTCTTTCCTCAATAGCTGTGAATATCAGAATAAACACAACCCCAGTCCAATGACCTATGTTGAAGGGACAAGACTTTCCTCTGGTGCCAAAAGAAGTGGTTTGAAGGCGCTTGGGTCTCCTCAATGTTGTCCAGGATGATCTGGACATAACGTATGAGTCCCAAGGGTAAAAAAAAACCTTAGAATTGGTGCTGAGAGGTAATTTAAGCAGGGGCTTTTAGAGCCAAGTCTCTTACTCTCTTCAAACAGACGTTTAACTGAACAGTGCAATTGATTGATTACTGAAATATGGATTAATGGACAATGAGATCGGATGCTGATTCTATTGATGAGACGTGATGGATTGTTGTTTTACTGTATTGTTGTATTGATGTTTTTGATGCTAATTAATTGATATTACTGTTTTAAATGACTAATGATTTTGTACCGTGTTGCTGATACTGGTTGTTAACCGCTCTGAGTCGCCTGATGGCTGAGAAGAGCAGTATACAAGTGAAGTAAATAAATAATCATAATAAATACTCACATCCATCCGATAGAAGCTTTGATGGCAGAATCAAAAAAAGGGAAGCACTCCCCTCCTCCAGGAAGAGGTGGAGCCAAACAATTGAGCTTGAGGAAGCAATTTAACTGGTGCAAACAACACTGATTGACAGCTATAAATAACCAATCAATCCAACTATACATAAGCAGGGCAAAAAGGCAGGATTAAGCTTGATACAACAGTTTAAATCTTGCAGCTAACAGTTCTACACATAGGTGGTGCCACTCACGCCGTCACAGACTCCCATGCAGCAGATCCCACCATCAGACAGCTCTTGCTTTCAGGACGTTCTTCCTAATGTTCAGGTGGAATCTCTCTCCATGGCTCCATTGTATTCTAATCTCTGGAGAACCAGAAAACAAGCTTGGCCCCTCCTCAATATGGTATCCTTTCAAAGAGTCAAACATGGCTCTCCTGTTAATATTCTCCAAACTAAACATCTCCGACTTCCTAAGCTACTCTTCAGGAAGATGCATGGTTTCCAGACCTTGGACCATTTTGATGGCTCTTCTCAGGACACCTTCCGTCTTGTCCATCTCCTTCTTGAGTTGCTTTGCCCAGAACCAGACACAGGGTTGTTGTTCCAGGTAATGTCTGACCAAAGCACAATAAAGTGTGATTATACCCCCAGTAAAGTCTGGAAAGTAACATGAGAGGGCAACCTGGGATATAGCTCATGAGGGGCCATCTGGACTGCTTCCCCAAGAAGAGCTGATGTTGGGCAAAACAGACTCCATATTCCAACAACCATTCCTCCTGGTTGGGTTCCAGACTCAAAGAATCTTAGAAGGGACCACGTGGGCCATCTAGTCCAACCCCCTTCTGCTCTGCACTCGCACACTGCACAATCAAAGTACCCCCAGCAGATGGCCATCCAGTCTCTGTTTAAAAGCTTTCAATGAAGAAGCTTCCACCACACTCCAAGGCAGAGAGTTCCACTGTTGAACAGACTGTATGGTCAGGAAGTTCTTCCTAATGTTCAGGTGGCATCTCATTTCCGGAAATTTGAACTCATTGCTCCGAGTCCTAGTTTCAAGGGAAGCAGAAAAAAACCTGCTCCCTCTTCCTTATGACACTTTTTCACATATGTATACATGGCCATCATGTCTCCTTTCAACTTTCTCTTCTGCAGGCTAAACAGACCCAGTTTTAAGATGCTTGTCATCAGTCATGACACCATGTTGGTACAGTGGTTTAAACCGCTGAGCTGCTGAACTTGCTGACAGAAAGGTCGGAAGTTTGAGTCCAGGGAACAGGGTGAGCTTCCACTGTTAGCCCCAACTTCTGCCAACGTAACAGTTCGAAAACATGCAAATTTGAGTAGATTAATAGGTGCCTCTTCAGTGGGAAGTTAATGGCGCTCGGTGCAGTCATGCTGGCCAAATGACCTTGGAGGCGTCTACAGACAATGCCGGCTCTTTGGCTTAGAAATGGAGATGAATTGTTGATGTCGCCATCAGGAAAAACTCAGCCGCTATCAAGACCTCAAAATCGAACCAACAATGTGATGTGGCGGCAAAAAAAGCCAATGGGATGTTGGCCAGCATCAAGAGGAGCCTAGTGTCTAGATCTAGGGAAGTCATGCTCCCTATGCTCTATTCCGCTTTGGTTAGACCACACCTGGAATATTGTGTCCAATTCTGGGCACCACAAATCAAGAGAGATATTGACAAGCTGGAATGTGTCCAGAGGAGGGCGACTAAAATGATCAAGGGTCTGGAGAACAAGCCCTATGAGGAGCGGCTTAAGGAGCTGGGCATGTTTAGCCTGAAGAAGAGAAGGCTGAGATATGATAAGGGCCAAGTATAAATATGTGAGAGGAAGCCACAGGGGGGAGGAGGAGGGAGCAAGCTTCCTTTCTGCTTCCCTGGAGACTAGGACGCAATGGAGCAATGGCTTCAAACTACAAGAGAGGAGATTCCATCTGAACATGAGGAAGAACTTCCTGACTGGGAGAGCCGTTCAGCAGTGGAACTCTCTGCCCCTGAGTGTGGTCGAGGCTCCTTCTTTGGAAGCTTTTAAACAGAGGCTGGATGGCCATCTGTCAGGGGTGATTTGAATGCAATATTCCTGCTTCTTGGCAGAATGGGGTTGGACTGGATGATGGCCCAGGAGGTCTCTTCCAACTCTTTGATTCTATGATTCTATGATTCTATGTAAAATCATACTATGTATTTTTGACATTAATATTGAAATCTGAAATATATACAGAAAGTCACCTTCGGGCTGAGAAAGGCAGTATATAAACATGGTAAATGCATAAATAATAAATAAATACAGACTGACAAAGTTTTGGAGCACAATATGCCAGGCATCACGATTGTAGAAAAGAAAAATGTTTGAATTATACATGTCACCATACCGGGTGAGAGTCGCATTGAGGAAAAACAACAGGAAAAACTCAGCCGTTATCAAGACCTCAAAATCGAACTCCAAAGACTCTGACGGCATAAACCAGTACAGGTGGTCCCAGTGGTCATGGGCATACTGGGAGCCATGCCAAAAGATCTCAGCCGGCATTTGGAAACAATAAACATGGACAAAATCACGATCTGTCAACTGCAAATGACCACCTGACTTGGATCTGTGCGCATCATTCAAAAATACATCACACAGTCCCAGACGCTTGGGAAGGATTCGACTTGTGATTTTGTGTTACGAAATCCTGTGCCATCGCGCTTGAGGGCTATAACTCTTAGTGAAAGAGGCATGGACGTGACATCTTTCCCCCAGGGGATTGCTTCTTGCCCTCCTTTAGGAAACTGGAACTCCCAAAGACCAAAACACTGTAGATAACTCAAAATAGGTTTAATTGTTCACAAAGAGTTATCCCTTTAAGGCAATAAGCTGGAAGTTTCAAAGGGGGTAAAGGAAAATATACATTAAGGCAATAAGCTGGAAGTTTCAAAGGGGGTAAAGGAAAATATACATTACAGTCTCTGGTTGTCTTGGGGCCAAGGAGTTTTGCAGGTCCCTCTTTCTCAATGGCTGTGAATATCGGAATAATCACAACCCCAATTCCAATGGCCTATATTTTGAAGGCACAAAGCCTTCCTCTGGTGCCAAAGAACTGGTTTGAAGGCGCTTGAGACTTCTCAACGTCGTCCAGATTGATCTGAACATGAAGCATAAGTCTCAAGGGTAAGAACCTCAGAATTGGTGCTGAGAGGTAACTTAATCAAGGGCTTCATAGCCAAGTCTCTCTCTCACGTCCATCTGATAGAAAGTTTGATGGTGGAATGGAAAAGGAAACACTGTCCTGCTGTCTAGGAAGAGGTGGGATCAAACAACTGAGCAGGAGGAGCAATTCAACTGGTGCAAACAACATTGATTGACAGCTATAAATAACCAATCAATCCAACTATACATTTACAGGGTATAAAGGCAAAATCAGGCATGATACAACTTACAGTTCTACATATAGGTGGCACCACTCGCGCTGTCACAATCCAGCATAGAGATCTCATTTGCTGTTACATACTGTGTTTTTGTGTCAGTAAAATAATAATAGCAGAAACCCAAGGGGCCATCATGGAGCCCCTCAATATGCTTCACAGAGTCCCAAGGGCTCCCTGGAGCACCCTTTGAGAACTGCTGTTTACATAAAAGCTTTGCAAAGAATTCCATCCCAATAACCTGCATTGCCAATTTTTCCTTCCTCGATCTTCTGCAGATTCCTCCCAGGTCTTGCCGGGCACCTGAGGTCAAGGACGCTACCATTCCAATGAGGTTGGCTCCCTAGAAGGATGTGGCAATGGCAACAGTGACCTCCCTGGACTCCCGAAATGCCTGCCCCGCTTCCACCACCTGGACGCCCCTCCATCTTCCAACCGCTGGAGTCCCTCTTGCACTTTTCCAGTAAAATGCTCACTTCTCACCGCAGCTCCCGACTTCTGTGGCTTTGTTTCTTCGTAACTTATTATGGAGAGAATTGGGAGGGGGGGGGGGGGGTGAATAATATCTAGAAGTGCAACAGTGATGTGATCCTGAGTGTGATGTTTTGTATAATGTGTTGTCGAAGGCTTTCATGGCCAGAATCACTGGGTTGTTGTAGGTTTTTTGG